ACTACTGAGAAAATTTTCCGAAAACACAGAGTCTGTTTGAACTCAGTGTAGTCGACTAATGTAAACAGTAGTCGACTACAGATACAGTTTTTCCAGTTTTCAAAGTTTGAATATCTGACAGTTTATAGCCGTTTTTAAACGTTTTTAAACGTTTTTAAAGTTTAAAAAATTATCTTTTCAAGGGCTATAAATAGGTTATTTGTTCAGAAAAATTGCAGAGATTTACATACCCATAAGCTTTGATCTTTGTGTAATTTTTCAAGTGAAATATATTCAGATTTTGTGAAAAAGAGAAGTTTCTGAAATTGCCTCTAAACATTCATCAAATACCTATCATTTAGGCAATTTACAGAGGTTAAAAGAATCCTAAGCCACTGCTGCACTTCACTACACATTCAAGGCTTATAGGATCAATTGTGTTCTTTCTTCAACAAGGATTTCTCTCGGGTTTGAGAGGGTTGATCTCTTGGTTTAGAGATTGGTGTTCAAATTGGCAATGTGTTTGTCAATTGGTGTTGCAATTTGCAGGGACTTGCAAATTGGTCAGGTTTGCGTTTGATTTTGTAAGTTTATTCAAAATCATAGTGGAAACTCTCAAGCGGGATTTGCTTGGGGACTGGATGTACACCGGATTGGTGGAACCAGTATAAAATCCTTGTGTTTGTGATTGTGAATTTCTGAGATTGCAATTTTTCTTTGCAATTTATAGTATACTTTGCATTAATTTTAAAAGAACACTATTCACCCACCCTCTAGTGTTCAAGTGTATCTATTTCAGATCCTACATAAAGTGTAGCAGGGTTGCCTAAAATGCATCCATGTATGTGAACACGTGGGTCGAGTCTTTTGGTAAGTTCGTATATACAATAACTGCTGAAAAATCTACCCAACAAGAAAGACAACATATCATTATCTGAAAATACATAAACAACATGATGGATATATGACAGACAAGTAGTGTACAAACGTTAATTTAATGATGTTGATCTCTCCTCGTGATAAATATATTTTGTACAAAATAAGAACACATAATTTAATTGGTGGACAAAGATAGTTGAAAATTTTGTACAAAATAAGAATGCCATGTTTCCATCTCGGAGTTGTCTGTATGACAATTAGCTCGAACAGTTCGTGACCGATCCCCCAGCAAACACTCCGGTGCTGAAACATACGAAAATTGCAATAAATAGTCATGGTATTGCGAGTCAATCTAGAGATTCAAATTAAGCTACTCACTCAGGTCATACTCACCTATCAAGCTTCTCTACAACCTGTAGAACACGGGCAAGGTGCTGCACATGGAAATGCTATCCGTTATCATATCCTTTACCTTATATGCAGGAAGTAAACAAATTTCCAAAATGATGAGTAATTTTTTAAGATACTTATGTTTTACAACGAATATGTAGCCAAACAAGAAAAATATAGGATTTTTTTTTTTATCATCTGAACGACCGAGATAATTAAAAGGAAAGAAAAATCCATTAGTAGGTCACGTGACCTTCTTGTTGCATAATCTTGCAATTGAACTGAAATTTCTCGCGGACCTAAATATTTACTAACGCATAAAAATAATCTCCATGCTGCACGATTCCTTTTGGCCTAACAATTTTGATAGACACTGAAGTTTGCATGCAGGCCAAGTCCTTAATTTTGCCACTGGTTTTTTTTAGGATCAGAGCTAAAATGAATATGAGAGAACAAACAATCATATCATATCATATCATACTCCCTTTAAAAGCACGAGTTCGGAAAATCTTTTTTAGACAAATATACCCCTTTATAGTTTGAACTACCTTATCTATAATCAAATCCTAATTTTCAATGGTCAATATTATCCTTCACTATTTTAAATTTTATTTATATCTTAATCTATCCTAATCATAGTCATATCTTATCCTAATCCTATATGAACCATGTTTAGCTTAACAATTTAAAAAAACTAATATTAATAAAATATATAAAACATAAAAATAATATTAGTTTGTTAAGATAAAGAAATTACAAGTAGATAACATATTATAATACATGAAGCATTGCAAAAAAACCATAAAAAGTTTTAAAATTACAGAAAAGACCCTGAAAAGTTCAAAATTATAAAACTCATCCAAATGTCTCAAAACTTAAAATAAAAAATATAAAATTAAAAAATTAACATAAGTTTGCAAAGAATTTAAAATTTACAGTTAACACCTCAATGTCTCAAAAATTATAGAAACACCCTCAAAAGTTTAAATTACAAACAAGCACATTAAAATTCTAAAATTTTAAAACTTACAAACAACACAGATGAATTCAAGAGATTACCATGATACACCTAAAATTTTTGACATTTAAATTTAAATTTTTTAATTAACACCCTCAATATCTCAAAAATTATAGAAACACATTCAAAAGTTCAAATTATAAAAAGCCACCCTAAAATTCTAAAATTTGTAAATAAAATAAGATGAATTCAAGATATTACCCTTAGACACCTAAAAAATTAAAATTTGCCAAAATTAACCTCAAAATTTTTAAAAAACTCCTTCAAAATTTAAAAATCGTAAAAAAAAACTCTAAATTTTAAAATTTTTAACTAGCACACATCAAATTCGTCGATTGGTAGACCGCTGAAATTTAATATTTTTAAAAATTAATCTATAGTTTTAATAATTACAAAAGACACCCTCAAAATTTTAGAGTTACAAGAAATATACTAACATTTAAAAAATTACCACCAACACATGAAACATAGAATTTACAACTACCAAACTTAAAAGTAAATTTTTTTAAAAACTCTTTCAAAAATTTAAAAATTATAAATCACACCCTCAAAGTTCAATATATATATATATATATATATATATATATATATATATATATATATATATATATATATATATATATATATATATATATATATATATATATATATATATATATATATATATATATATATATATATATATATATATATATATATATTAAAATTTCTAATTTAGGGATTTACTATCCATTTTCAGCATCTAAGAATAGTCTAAGTTGATACTGGTAAACAAAAACAATAAGAATTGATTAAAAACATCCGGTTAATGGATAAATTTTTTAAAAATATTATAGATTAAAAATTATCGGCACTATATAAATTAAAGTAATTTCATATAATTTTAGTAATAAGTTGGGGTAGCCAAAATACATTCGTAACATTAATTGATAGATGTTTAAATCCATAAAAATGATAAAACACTATAATATTATACCTTAGCATTAATTGATTTTAATTTAGAAACTTTAATCTTTGACGTTAATAATATTTATAGGGTAAAAGAATACAAGGAATTACATATGGAGAAACTATTAGAATATTTAGAGATAACTTTAAAAGAATTGAGTTATTTCCATTGCAAATGGGAAAGTGATGGAAATAAATCTAAAATTCAGAAAACGTCAATGAATCACTTGAATTGGCATTAACATAAGACATATCTATTAACGAAGCATTGAATGAGTTACATAAAAAAATAATTTAATAACTTTATCCTAATTAAAGAAAAAATCTCCATGGAAGACATAAGAAAAATTAGTAATTATTCATAAATTCCATACTGTGCTCTTCAAATTAAATATTAATATTATAATCTAAGAGAAATTGGTAATGAATAATACAGGTATTTAGTTTAGATCTTTATGAAAAATGACAGGGATAGAGCAAAGGTAATATTATTGAAATAACAGAAATTCTTATTGGGTGCACATCAGAAGAATTTATTTTAGAGGAAAATAAAGAGATAGCTTCTAATTTATTTAAGTAATAAATTAGGAACACAAAGAATTTTATATATATGAAATTAATATTTATTCTCATTGAAATAAAAAAAAAATCAAAGTCTATATTTTGAGCAGTTTGTGTTGAACATCATAAGTATATTTGACTTCTTTATAAAGCTAAATGAGATACTAAAAAATTAACGAGCCTAGGAAAGATAATAGCATAAAAATACAAAATTAGCCTGATGTCACAATTGATATAGATGATGAAGACAATACTCTAGAATTTTCCGAAAAATGATAAATGATAAACCTGAAGAAGGATTGATCTTAACTCAATAAAAAAAATAGAAGAAATAAAAATAATATTTTATGAATATTTTAATTATTTTAAGTGAAATTAGGAATCTTTAGAAGAGAGTTTCATGAATTTTTTTCAGTACTTTTATATTCTTGTGTGGATGTTTTTATCATATAAAAGTATACTAGAGTTAGCATTAATCTTTAATTTATATTTTTTTATGAAGTCTATCAATGATTAGGAATAAACTTCATATTCTCTTTTGCATCGTTTTAACATACTTTAAATCAATCATTTTGCCATATTGGTTTTAAATATTCACCTTCCTTGTATAACACTATTTTAATATTTTTTACTTTGCAATGCTATACTTTCTCAAATAAAGCTTAGTTTCATATCGGTCGAAAATAATATGAAAATTCAAATTATTTTTAAATTATATTTGTTTTTTGTCAATTCAAATATTAACATGAAAATTTAAATTGGGTGTATCCCATTTAAACAAAAATAAAAAAATAATCGGGATATAAGAGTTTAAAGAAAAAAATGAGCACAAACTACCAAAAATACTTAATCATGATATTAAATCACGTGCATTGCATGTGTGTCAAAACTAGTAAGCATAAATATGCGAGGATAGCTATCAGCCAAAATCGAATGCCCTGACGGTTGAGGCACTTACTTTATGCGACCCAATCACTACTTTTGGCTTTTATGATATTCTCCCTTACATTTTAATGTTTTCGAATTAGGCTTTTAAATCATTAAAATTGATATCAGCTCTCCAAATTCTTATATTACTGGAACTACACCTAACTGAAGGGATTAATTTGTTATATTTCTTATAAAATGTAACAATCGGGCGAAAACAGCAATTTGAATGACTTCAGGGCCTTATTTCAAAATATTAAAAAGGTAAGGGGCTAATATGGAAAAAATGGCGGGAGGTTAAGACGGAGAAGCGCTAAAAAACTCTCAATTTTCTTCCCTAATAATTCCTTTTTCCCCCAAAATCACAGTATTTCTTATAATTTTAAAACCTAGAGTTTCTCTCAAGGGATTCATTTCCGATTTCATGGCGGAAAGCTCTAGTTCGATCGGCAAGAAGCGGGCGAGAGAGGATGATGACGGTGAAATTCTCAGTCTTGGTACTCCGTTTGATCTCCGATTGATTTACATTTAGTTCAAATTCTTGTATTTTTAGGACCTCGACTATGCTAATTTCTAGATGAATTGCTTGATGGTGACGAGTTTTAGAACTTTTAGGAATTGGAGTATCTAGGGTTTTGAACTTGAGCATATTATCCATGAAAAGCGTATTTTTTAAAACTTGTACTTATTTATGCATTTGAGACTGTATCTTAATAAGTTTATGCTTGTATAAATGCAGAGAACAATCTTACCTATAGTGATACCGCAATAGCACTTCAAATGATGCGTTCACAATTTCCGAAGGTTGAGAAGGTATTTCATTTTTTTTGTCCTCCTCTCTGTTTATTTGAAGTCTGTGATGAATTTTATTGCTCTTGTGTCCATGCATATCCACTCTAGCACCCATATATATTTTACTTAAAATTTTCAGGATACTTTTTGAAGTGTCAAAATAAGTAAGCACTTAATGTCACAAATATTTTAACAAAATCTTGGCCTCCGCATAACACCATGGTCAATCTTGAAAGAGAGGTTTTATATAAATTTATACTATTGTAAAAAAAATTGATGAGAGGATTAACAAACCCTGCGTAGACTAATTTTGGTGCTCTATTTTAATCTTTAATGAGCAGACCATTCTGATCATGACACCCTACCCTCCTCTTATACTCACTTGATTCTCCAGCAAGGGTTTGTTCAAAGCGGTCATGTTTTGAATAATTTATCGCTCATACGTTTGGAAACTTCATTGCTTAATCAAGTACATTTTTTTAAATTTCTTTCCTAAATTTGTTCTGTTCCTTGAGTTCTAGGTTGCCTTCATTCTGGAAGATAACGTACTGATACTTGTTGTTAATTACATTTTCAGTAATTTTGCTAATCCATTTCAATATTTTTTAATAATTTCTTTCAGGTTGCAATACAGCCTTTCATCTTGCAGTCACAGTTGTATAGTAGTGTAAAGGATAGGACACAGGTGGACAGGGACTTGGAGGTCTGGTTTCTTTTCTTTGTTCAACTATATGGCTTTTTCACATATATCTTGTTTGCTGCCTTAGTAACTTCTGTATCTTTCTGGCAATCATTGTCCTCCTCACATATCTTCTGACTGTAACCATTATAAGCTTTGTTATTTTTGATCATTTTATTTTTCAAAATATGTATCTAGGTGCTATCTACATGGTTTGCTCTTCCCTTCACTTCCCTTAAGCACTGTGCAAAAAACTGTACTACTAATGAATATTTCAAACTCTGGTCATTAATTTTCCATTAGAAATTGCTTTTATCCTTGCATGCTTTTGGTGAGCTAAAGTAAGCGAAGAAAGATTAATCATAATACTGTAACATATAGTACCTCGTGCAGTTTGGGAGTCTATCGGATGCTGACCCTTCCATTCAGAAAGGTGGAAGGGTAATTACATGCTATTAGCACACAATTGTGCCCACGAATTTGTGTTTGCTAATATATTTGTGGCTTCATGCATCTGGCATGCAGTTACATTTTTTATCTGCAAGCATATCAAACGATTGTTATCCTCGTTCTGCTGTATTCAAGTTCCTGTTGCCTCAACCGAGTGAACTAACATATAAGCTTTGTCCTTCTTGTTTGATTTAAGAATTGTTGTTATTGGCGTATATATATAATTATATTATATATATATATATATAATATATATATAATATATATATAATATATATATAATATATATAGAGAGAGAGAGAGAGAGAGAGAGAGGAGAGAGAGAGGAGAGAGAGAGAGAGAGCGAGCGAGAGAGAGAGAGAGAGAGGAGAGAGAGAGAGAGAGAGAGATGAGTATGCTTGTACCGAAGCACAAAATATTATGCTTTGGTAGTGAGGTGACATAATCCCCTCTACTCATTCAAATGGTTGTATATGCTCCATGCACTCCTCAACCCATGTGAATGTGGTCGCCCATTTGAATGAGTGAGGAGATTGTGCAACCGTCAGCTTACCAGCAAAAAATTTGTGCTTGGTACAAGCATAACCCATATATATATATATATAATATATATATATATATATGAGATTAATGAGTTATCATTGTCAGGAGGGATTTTCCTCTTGTCGCCTACTCGTGCACAACCCCACCATCCTATATAAAGTAGGCACAATCCCCATCAACTCACACTCTCTCTCCTACTTTATGAGATGGTGGTGTTGTTGCACATAAGCTCAAGGAGGAAATCCCTCCTATGACAAGATACCCATTAATCTCTCTCTCTCTCTCTCTCCTCTCTATATATATATATATATATATATATATATATATATGAGAAAATGTGTATCTGGTACCAAGCACAAAAAGTTATGTTTGGTATGGAGGTGGCATAATCCTCTCCACTTATTCAAATGGTTGCATATTATCCCCATGCACTCCTCAATCCATGTGAATGTGGTCCCCATTTGAATGAGTGGAGGGGATTGTGCCACATCACTACCAAGCACAAAATTTATGCTTGGTACTAAGCATACACATTTCTCTCCGTCCCTCCCTCTCTCTCTCTCTCTCTCTCTATATATATATATATAATATAATATTATATATATAATATATATATATATATATATATATATATATATATATATTCTAGTTTATCCATTAGATTTGTTCTGACTCTCAGGCAAGGATCTAAAATTTTAACTGAGCAAATATGAATAAATATCGCTCATCTTTCCTTTAGTAGCTCTAGAAGATCGATAGATAAAGATAAAGTTAAGTGGTAGGACAATGAATATCAGTCATTTCGTGCCAGGCTTCAAGTACAAGAATTCACATAGTTATACTACACTTTTAAGGAGCCTTCTCTGCTTTGCCATCAGATTAACATATTTCTTTTCATTTTTTTCCACAGTCATTGAAGAAAGAAAAAGTTCTTCGCTTGTTCAAACTAAATACCGGACAGGATGATCATGCCATAATGTTCATGGATGATTATCTCAAACAGGTTAGTTGCCTTTTAACCCAAATTGGTGATGTCATGCTGTTGAATGTATTTTGTGCAAGGTCTCACTATGAAACAGATGATACTCAAACAAATTAAACTGCTAGGCAGTTGCCTGAAGCTTAAATACTCGTTGCCTGAAGCTTAAATACTCATATGATAATTAGCTCAAAAAACCATTTATTGTTTCTACTATATAGCAACTACATGTACTTAAGCCACTACTTGGGAGTTGATGAGATTTCTAGGTCACTTCTCAGGTTGATGCATCACCTAGGTATTTCATCAATAGCCTATCAGTGCATGAGTGAAGAAGAACATCATGTTTGTGCATGGGGGAACCGTAGTCTGGGCACTTTAATTTGTGATGAAGTTATGGAATACTCTGGCCTCTTTTTTTTAAGGACAAAGCAAAAATCATATAAAGCTAATGGCCAGGTTGATCATTTATCATGACAGTATTCTGTTATCAGTAAGAATGGCTCAGAGTCTCAGACTTGAACCATTTGTTATTGATAAGTAATATATACTACAAAACATAAATGACACTGAATCACTTTGTATTAACTCTTTCCTTCTCTTTACAATCATTAAAAAAAATCACCCTCGTATGTTTTTTGAATGTACCTCTTATTGTAATATTGTAATATTGTAACAAGTCAAGGTATTCTGCTGAGCAATTACACATGAATTGGATGTTCTGCAGTAGTTTGCTTGAATGATATCTGGATTCTTTTTGTGAAAGAGTACTATCAAAAGGTTATGTATAAAATGCATAACTAAAACATCTATAGAGCACATGTTATTTTGGAAATTATAGACTTGTTTAAATTATATGTTTCTTGTGTATGAATTTGTGCCTTGAGGATAAGTATGATAAATTGTTTCTTTAAAGAACTGCAACAGTTTGTCTTATCTATCTATCCATTGGTCAGACTCAGACTATGGCACCCTATTCATATTAATGAAACTCATGCCTAAGTCCTATTTCTCTTGGTCTCCTAAGTCCACCATGCACTCACCTCCATGCATTGTAAATAACATCATCAAAAGACCAGTATGCGTTCCAATAACATCACCAAAGTCCTCATGAATAATCTACTTCTTTTCGCTCAATACTTGGATATACACAAGCAGTTTTTTACTAGTTACTACCCATTTCACATAACCTCTACCTCCCGGTTTTAGCAGGCATCACTTTCACCATGAATCAATTGCTTAGGTCTTTTCGTTGTTGCTCAATACTACAATTTCCTTTTGCCTGATTTAAAATTCTATTTCAAGCCACTTTTCCTTTCTTTCTCTTAATTTCCTTCTATTCTATGCCCCCTTGATAATTGATGCAACCTAATAAAGGGTCTGGCTATTTTTTTTGGCTGTTTTGAAGAATTAACTAGGACTTAGGAAGCCTAACAAATGATAATTTGTGTAATTTGGAAGGCTAATAAATGGCAGGGAGTACCGCTAGCATGAGAATGCACATTAGTTTATCCAAAACCATTAAATTTACAGTTAGTAGCTTAGAATTTGTTTCAGAATTCACTGAGTAAATTTTTCTTCATTTAGTGACATATTTTTCTAAAATCCTCTTTTATGAATTTCTAAAAACTTGTCTAATAATGAGAGTCAGCGAGGATCTTGTCTCTGAGAACACTTACTGTAATCTTCTTCAATATATATTAGATATGCTTAATTTTACTTTAGGAACCTGTAATTTAAACCATTAAAGCTTTCCTGTTTCCATACTTACTTTGTTTAGGTGGAAACTTCAATGAAGAGGTTGCAAGACAAAGATCAGCAAGACATTCGAGTGTTTGACTGGTTTAAGAGACATGTTATCGAATCCAAATTGGATGTTAGCATAGACCATCAAGAGTTGGTGAGCCAGTTGCATTTCAATGAAGAACAACTTTATTATAATTTTTTGCATCTTGATGATTGCTGTCTGCATTTGAGGAACCTTTTCGTGCTTATGAAACAAAAAATGTTATATTCAAGTACCGTAATCAATTTTTCAATCTTTTATTTTGTGTTACATTCGGAGTAACTTTGTATCTGCTAGTATGAATAGATGAATGCATTTATTTATTCATTGTTTTATACAATATTGTAAATATTATTACTTCACCAAGTTAACCCTGATAGTTAATTACTTAAAGCACAGACAAACACCTGATCATGTTGTATAATAATATAAACATATAGCTAAATGTCACGGGCTTGGTCTTTTTTAAGCTCACATGCGACACTTAGCAAGCCTTTCACTAGTAACACTAAGTTCAGCCTCACTAGCACTCACACAAGGGCAAACTAATTAGCTAAACGAGAGAGAGTACGTCAAAGAAGGAAAGAGAACTCTTGTATTGCACTCACAAAGGATTACAACTTTGGAGGAATGATTTGGCAAGTGGGGGTCCACCCTTTATTTATAGACCTTAACCCTCGATAGGAATTCTCTAGATCTTTGTACATCCATCATAGTTCCATACTTCTCACTTTATTCTAGTACTCTTCACACTACTTTAGAACATTATACTATATTCTAGAGGACTCTACACATTCTGAGGTATTCTAAAAGATTCTAGAACGCTCTAGACTTTTCTAGAGCACTCTAGATTTACGTAGAAAATTGTAGAATTAGTTATTTACCATGCTTACGTGGCAAAGGCCTTTGTTCTAAGGTGGGATGTAACACTCTCCCCTACCTAATCTGGCGACGCTCTCGTCGCCTCTTCATGATACTTCTCGATCTTCTTTGCGAACTGCCATAGTGTGTCCGTAGGCTCCCAACTTGCCTTGCTTTTTGGTTAATCTTTTTATTTTATAAGTGTTCCTTCTTCTATGATGCTCCGTGTTTTCTAACTATACGATCGTTAAGTATCTCTTTGACGTTCTTGTCGTATGAGTCAACCACTGCAGTAGTTGCCCTTGATGATCGACCTTGAGTTGGATCCTTCGGATCCTCGTGATAAGGCTTTAACATACTCACGTGACATAGGATGGATCTTCAGTTTCAGCGGTAACTCTAGCCGATATGCTACCGCTCCAACCTTTTGTATCACCTCAAATGGGCCTTCATATTTTCTTATCAAACCTTTGTGCACCTTCCTGAAGATCTTGTGTTGTGACAGCAGTTTGATCATCACTTTGTCTCCTAATCGGAAGTTCACACCCCTTCAATTTTTTCCGCCCATTTCTTCATCTTCTTAGCAGCCTTATCGAGATACAACCTAGTCAAGTCTGCTTGTTCCTTCCATCCTTTGGCCAAGGTGTATGCTGCAGAACTTTTTTCTTCGTACTTGTCGCCAATCAATATGGTGCGAGGAGTAAGTGGTTGTTTTCTAGTCACGACCTTGAAAGGACTCTTGCTAGTCAATTCACTCTTTTGCAAGTTGTAGGAGAATTGGGTGATAACAAGCAACTTAGCCAATTCTCGCTGGTTAGCACTCACAAAGTGCCTTAAGTACAACTCCACTAACACATTGACCCTCTCAGTTCGGCCATCTGTCTGCGGGTGAAAACTAGTAGTAGTGCAACTTAGATCCAACATCTTGAATTGTCCACAACTTACCAGTGAATCGAGGGTCTCTATTGCTGATGATGTGTCAAGGTAGGCCCCAATATATCACCACATGCTTAAATAGTAGCTTTGTTGTCTTCTTTTTCATCACATCAGGTGGAGTAGGGCTAAAAGTAGCATACTTGGAAAATTTGTCCGCTATGATAATGGTCTTGTAGCTTTTGGACTTGGGGTAAAGCCATGATGAAGTTTATGATCACGGTTTCCTACGGACACTCCGCAAAAGACAAGGGTTGTAGTAGGCCTCCAGGTTAATGGTTATCAACCTTTTGTTGTTGACGCACTAAGCAAGTTCTTACATAAGCCTCCATATCATCTCATAACTGTGGCCAATAGTATGTCGTCTCAAGTAGTGCTCATGTGCATTGTTGTCTTGAAAGTCCCTCCCATATCGAGTCATGTTATTCTTTCATAAGTTCTCATCGAAGGTTAGCCCGCTTAAGGACATAAATGCGTCTTCCTTTTGTGTAGAGAATGTCATCTTCCTCCCACAATCTTCGTGTGTCGTGCCTTACTTGGCAAGGGCCATCAAGTTCCTTAGCGACAGAATCTTGATTTATACATTCCCTAATCTTCGAGATGATATCTCTGTCGACCCGT